GCTGCTGGTGCTGCTGCAGATGAGGATGCAACAGACTCCGTGGGGTGTATGCGCACCTCTCGTGAATATAGACAAAGAATGGCAAAAGATTCGTTGGGGTGTCTGCTGAGCTCTCCTCTCTTTCTTACACTTTTTCCTGACTTTGTTGAGGTATTTATTCTTATTTATTTATTTATTTATTTATTTATTTATTTATTTATTTTATTTATTTATTTTATTTATTTTATTTATTTTATTTATTTTATTTATTATTCTTTTTTCTTCCTACGCTTTTATACATAATATTGCCAATTCTCAATCTTTTGCTGCTGCTGCTGCTGCTGCTGCTGCTGCTGCTGCTACTGCTGCTGGTGCTGGTGCTGCTGCTACTGGTGCTGCTGCTACTGCTGCTGCTCCTACTGTTGCTACTGCTGCTGTGTGTTATTGTTGCTGCAGCGTGTAAAGAATGCAAAAGAAGGGAGAGTACAGACAAGAACAGGTGTGCATATAAGTGCAGCAGCAGCAGCAGCAGCAGAAAGAATAATAAGAAGAAAAGCCTTATGTAAATATTTATTTGCTGTTACTTTCTTTGTATCATTAGTTGGAGGTATTATAGCTATTGCTGTTGTATTCTCTTCTTCATAATACCATATCCTCCTGCTGCTCCTGCTGCTGCAGTTGCTGCTGCTGCTGCTGCTGCTGCAGTTGATGCAGTTGATGCAGCAGCGACAGCAGCAGCAGCAGCAGCAGAGAAAAGGCAGCAGCCACAATTACAGTGTAACTTCTAACCTTTTACTACATCAGCAGCAGCTGCTGCTTTATCAGCTGCTGTTGCTGCTGAATCAGCAGCATCAGCAGCTGCAGCAGCGTTAGCAGCAGCAGCAGCAGCAGCAGCAGCACCAGGTACGTGGTGTACGTACACCTCATTTTGTGGGGAGATAATGCCTGGGTCTTTGATGCGCCACATTGGTGATCCACGCAGGAAGCCACATGACCCTAAACAGCAGCAGCAGCAGCAACAGCAGCAGCAGCAGCAGCAACAGCAACAGCAGCAGCAGAGGCAGCAAGCTGAGATGTAGGATGTAGAAGAGCAGCAGCAGCAGAAGCAGCAAGCTGAGATGTAGGATGGAGAAGAGCAGCAGCAGCAGCAAGCTCAACAGCAGCAACAGAACAGCGGCAGGGCATCGGCAGCAGCACCAGCATCTGCAGCAGCAGCAGCAGCTGTAGGAGCAGCAGCAGCAGCAGGCGTACCACAGCAGGGGAGGGAGACAGCAAAGAAATGTTTTGCTGTTTTATATTGCTGCTGCAGCAAATCAAAGAATGGCTGCAGCGGTGCATGCGAATGAACCCCTAGCAGCACAACTACATCAGGCTCCTGCTGCTGCTGCTGCTTATTCTGCTGCTGCTGCTGCTGCTGCTGCTGCTGCATGACGGATTGAAGGGTTGCGAAGCAGAAGTCCTCTGCCTTCCCTCGGAAGCAAAATATGCGATCTTCAACAGCACCAACAAATTGGCATGCAGCAGCAGCAGCAGCAGCAGCAGGTTGCTGCTGCAGTTGCTGCTGCTGCTGCTGCATGCGAGGGTCAATGGAGATGCAGCGCCAAGACGGGGGAGTTCGTAGGCAGACAGCAGCAGCAGTTCTCTGCAACAACAGCAACACAAATATAGGGAAGCGGATGAGCTGCTGCTGTTGCTGCTGCTGCAGTTGCTGCTGCTGCTGCAGCCGCTGCCTCTTTTCGGTGCATCTTATGTGTCCGCATGGCAGATGCAGCACGAGCAGCAGCAGTACAGCAAAAGCTGCTGCTGCAACACGTGCAGCAGCAGCAGCAGCTGCTGCATCACGCACTTTAACAGTTGCTGCAGCAGCAAGTACAGCAGCAGCAGCAGCAGCAAATAAAGCAGCAACAGCAGCAGGTACAGCAGCACGAGTAGCCCGTACAGTAACAACAGCTGCTATCTGCTGCTGCAGCACATACAGCATTACATACATCATTAGCAGCAGCAGAATCATCAGCAGCACATCAGCAGCACCATAAGCAGCACCATCAGCAACAGCAACAGCAGCAGCAGCAGCAGCAGCAGCAGCAGCAGCAGCAGCAGCAGGTATTTACAGGTATTTTTCCATCTCCTGGTATAAAAACGAAGACAAAATTTTCATCAAAATTTTTCACCAAAAGGCGAACAGCAGATAACCTACACACATACACATTTGCTGCTGCACGACGAGCTGCTGCTGCTGTTGCTGCTGTTGCTGCTGCTGCTGTTGCTGTTATTGTTGGTGCTGCTGTTGATAGTTGTGCTGCTGCTGGTGCTGCTGCTGTTAGGTCTAGGTACACAGTTCGTCCTTACGCAATAGTAGATATATATACTCACAGATAGCTGTTGCTGCAGCAGCAACTGCAGCAGGAGCAGCAACAGCAGCAGCAGGCAGCAACAGCAGCAACAGCAGCAGCAGCAGCCTTACATGGCAGCAGTTACTCCGACAGATTCTGTCAATTCCTTCGTTGCTACAAACCCACGGCCTCTTGCTGCCTGTAAGCATACAGCAGCAGCAGCAGCAGCAGCAACAGCAGCAGCAGAAGAAGCAACAGTTGGCGCGAGAGAAAAGTATTGAAGCATGGCTGTGATCACACAAGCAGCAGCAGCAGCAACGGCAGCAGGAGCAGCAGAAGCAGCAGCAGGAGCAGCAGCAGCAACTGACTATTTGCATGAAGGGTAGCTTCTTTTGCTGCCCCTGCAGCAACGCAAGGAAAGAAGAGATATGCCGCAGCAGCAGAGGAGTCTCCACCTCATTGGTTGCTGCTGCTGCTGCTGCTGTTGCAGTTGCTGCTGCTGTTGTTGCTGCTGCTGCTGACGGCTCCGTGCATGTTGCTGCTGCAGTTGCTGCAGCTGGAGGTGCTGCTGTGGTGCCACGAGGATAGATGAAGGCAGCAGCAGCAGCAGCAGTTGCTGCTGCAGCATCAAATGGGGTAGCTTCCCTGCAGCAGCTGCAGCTGCACGTCCAACTCGTGCTGCTGTTGCTGCTGCTGCTGCTGCTGCTGGCTAGCTGCTGCGGCAAAGGAGCTGACGTCCTCGCTATGTGTATAGACAGCTGCTTCTCTCCTCTGCAGCCGCTGCTTGCATTGTCTAAGAATTGAATTGCTGCTGCTGCTGCTGCTGCTGCGCAAGGTTTCCTACTATCTGCTGCTGCACCAGCAGCACCATCAGCACCACCAGCAGCAGCAGCAGCAGCAGCAGCAGCAGGGTGGGCATACACTACAAAACAGTATCCATGCTTCCTCTCCATAGAAGAAAAAAGACCAAAACAGCAAAAGAGGGATCGTAAGGATTCGTTGCTGCTGCTCCTGCTTATGCCCCTTACTGCAGCAGCAACAGCAGCAGCAGCAGCACAAGCAGCAGCAGCAGCACATGCAGCACAAGAAGAAGAAGCAAACGGTGTATTATTGGCAAGAACAGACAGAGCATGCCCCAACATAAGAAGAACAGCAACCTACTGCAGCAGCAACAACAGCAGCAGCAGCAACAGCAGCAGCAACAGCAGCAGCAATAAAATAAACCTACCGTACAACTTGTAGCTTGCATGCTGCTGCTGTTGCTGTTTTTTTTTCTGTTGCTGCTGCTGCTGCTGCTCCTGCTGCTGGTGGTGGACTTGCTGCTGCCCACAAAAATCATTGGGTTCCCCACCATTCGTGTGGGGTTTAACCTGCTGCTGCTGCTGCTGCTTGTGTTGCACCTGCTGCTGCTGCTGCTGCTGTCGTACTAAACACTCGAGTTGCTGCAGCAGCAGCGGCAGCAGCAAATCCAAGGAAGATGAATCAGAACCCTTACTTAAAGCTTCTGCTGCACCTGCAACAGCAGCAGCAGCTGCTGCTGCTACTGCTGGTGATGCTGCTGCTGCTGCTGCTGCTGGAGTTGCTGCTGCATTGTCTTCTTGGGATATACCTTTTGGTGGCTTCCCGGGGGTTGCTGCTGCTGCTGTTGCTGCTGCTGCTACTGCTGTTGCTGCTGCTGCTACTGCTGAAGAGAGAACTGCAGCAGCAGACGCAATTGCAGCAGCAACATCGGCAGCAGCCCTTGCTGCTGCCGCTGGTGCAGCAGCAGCTTCTGTTGTTGTTGTTGTTGCTGCTGCTGCTGTAACGGGGGATTCAGAAGAACTACAGGCATAACAGGGGCCTCTTGTCATTGCAGTATATGCTGCTGCTGCTGCTGCTGCTGCTGTTGCTGTTGTTATTGCTGCTACTGCTGCTGTTGTTGCCGTTGCTGCTGGTGCTGCAGTTTGTGTTGCTGTTGCTGCTGGTCTTCTGTTGCCTTCGTGTTCAACCTCCTCTCCTGCTGTTGCTGTGCCTGCTGCTGCTGCTGCTGTTACGGATGCTGCTATTGCTGCTGCTGTTGCTGCTGCATTTGCAACTGCAGCAGCAGCAGCAGCAGCAATAGGAGAGCAACGCAATGACTCTGTATATAAGCTGCTGCCGTGCTGCTGCTGTTTTGTTGTTGCTGCTGCTGTTGCCTCCTGTGTCTGCTGCAGCTGTTATTATATTTTATATATTTACTATTAATTAAATAAATAAAATAATAAAAAGAATATTTTTGCTGCTATAAAAAGTATAAATAATTTAATCACCTTTGCTGCAGCAGCAGCAGCAGCAGCAGCAGCAGCAGCAGCAGAAGGAAGGCAGCAGAGGCGGCAGCAGCTGAATCTTTTCTTTTGCATGCATGCAGCAAAATATTAATTAATAAATATTATTTATATGTAAAATACAATGTAAGAAGAGATGTGTACAGCTGCATGCAATAGCAACAGCAGCAACAGCAGCAGCAGCAGCACAAGAGACCAGCTCCTTCATGATCACTAGCAACAACAGCTGCAGCAACAGCAGCAGCAACAGCAGCAGCAACAGCAGCAGCTGCTGCAGCAACAGCAGCAGCAGGGATACGTTTTACAACAATGACTTCTTACATTCATTGACTCTAACAGCAGCAGCAGACACACAAACAGCAGCAGCAACAGCAGCAGCAGCAGC